AAAAAAAAAAAAAAAAAAAGACAGATTTGAATGTTGAAAGAATTCTGCCCCTTTCCATAAATATTTTACGCTGCTCCAAAAGTTACAACATTTCTCACTTATCCCGAAGTTATATGTTTTTTGTGCTACTGTTTACCATATGTATTTTGGTGGTGAAAAAACATTCTTATTTGATTTGAATTTTAAATTAGTCCAATCTGTTGAAACGTTACTATCATGGATGGGTTTCATAAGCTCACATGTCACTTTCACAGGGTACGTTTCCATTATGGTCATCCTGATGTATTTGACAGAATCTTCCACATAACTAGGGGTGGCATCAGTAAAGCTTCTAGAGTCATTAACCTAAGCGAGGATATATTTGCTGGTATTTCTTATTTCAATTGAAGATGATATTCCTAAAGATTCCACCAGTCAATTAATTGTGCTAATCTTAACAGGATATAATTCAACTCTTCGTGGGGGGTTTGTCACACACCATGAATACATCCAAGTAGGCAAGGGGCGAGATGTGGGCATGAATCAAATATCACTTTTTGAGGCAAAGGTTGCAAATGGGAATGGAGAGCAGACACTTAGTCGTGATGTTTATAGGCTTGGGCGTCGTTTTGACTTCTACCGAATGATGTCCTTCTACTTCACAACTGTTGGATTCTACTTCAGTAGTATGGTATTATTTCTATAAGCAATATCTGTTTGCGTAGTATTAACATATAATATATATATGGCTTTGCACTATCCTTGAATAACTGCTCAAAATGTTCCCCTTAAGATCAACACGTGGGCTCCTGGCTTCAAATAGGTCAAGTATTTACTCAGTACATGTTTGTGTGCTTGGATTTCTAACTAATGTCTCTTCTTAAGTAATAGATAGAAAGATGTAATTGCTTCTGCTAACTGTGTTTATATGTCAATGCTAACATCAAGAGAATGTGTACGTATTAATCTTTTTCCGGCAAAGATACAGTATTTTTTTGCTCAAAAAAATTGTTGATGCGCATGTTTTTTTTTCTATAGGCAATATTTTTTTAGTTGGCTATTGCCAACTTGACTGAACTTAAATACTTGGTAGGCTATATTAAGATATCCTGATAGGCTTGAACTCTGTGGATAGTTTTGGTGAGGGGCTGAATCTTTTTCGTAGTACGAGTTCTAAGACCTATTAAGTCCTTTAGTGGGAAGAAATCTTCTTCCAAATTCGAGAAGGTTTACAGTAAATGATTATTCTTTGACTTCCGATTCACATATGGTGCTTTCTGTTGCCTGCGCATGTTCGTCATAATGCAAGGATCATTCTTAGCTTTTGAATTATACAACTCGCAGGTGACTGTGCTGACAGTATATTTATTTTTATATGGACGTTTATACATGGTTATGAGTGGTGTTGAAAGGGAGATTCTTGAAAACCCTTCCATACGTCAGACGAAGGCTCTTGAAGAGGCTTTGGCTACCCAGTCTGTATTTCAACTAGGCTTGTTGCTGGTACTACCAATGGTTATGGAAATTGGCCTTGAAAAAGGATTTCGCACTGCCCTTGGTGATTTTGTTATCATGCAGCTGCAACTAGCTTCTGTTTTTTTCACATTTCAGCTTGGAACTAAAGCCCACTTTTATGGTCGAACAATCTTGCATGGAGGTTCTAAATATCGAGCTACTGGTCGTGGGTTTGTTGTTTTTCATGCAAAATTTGCTGATAATTACAGGCAGTACTCAAGAAGTCACTTTGTCAAAGGCTTGGAACTTTTTATTCTGCTCCTTATTTATCAAATCTATGGAAATTCATATCGCAGTTCAAAACTTTATCTATTCATCACTTTCTCCATGTGGTTTCTGGTTGCCTCCTGGTTGTTTGCTCCCTTTGTGTTCAATCCATCTGGATTTGACTGGCAAAAGACGGTTGATGACTGGACAGATTGGAAAAGGTGGATGGGAAATCGTGGTGGAATAGGGATCTCCCATGACAAAAGTTGGGAATCTTGGTGGGATGGAGAACAGGAACACTTGAAAAGTACAACACTAAGGGGAAGAGTGCTAGAGATAATACTTTCTTTACGATTCCTGTTATACCAATATGGAATTGTTTACCACCTTGATATATCTCATAGCATTAAGAGCTTCTGGGTACGGAGTTTTTCTATTATCACTAAGATATTTTCTCTCATTATCCAAATGATATTTCTTTGGATCTGCTGCCAATATTTCACTGTTGTTTTTCGCTTCAATGTCTATCCAGGTTTATGGACTTTCTTGGGTTGTCATGTTAATTGCTCTTGTTGTCTTAAAGGTATTCCCCTACACAAGGATCTCATATCATTTTCTTACCTCGAAGGCTGATTTGCTCTAACATGTTTACTATTTTAGGCTGGTTAATTTGCCCTCTTGTTTACTGTGTTTATGTTTCATGTGGCTACCAGTTGGTATCCATGGGCAGACGAAAATTCGGTACCGACTTCCAGCTCATGTTCAGAATACTAAAAGCTCTTCTCTTCCTCGGTTTCATGTCGGTCATGACTGTCTTGTTTGTAGTATGGGGCCTCACAGTATCAGATCTATTTGCAGCTCTCCTTGCGTTCTTGCCTACTGGATGGGCCATCCTTCTGGTAAGTTTTGCAATTATGCTCTCATATGACATTGTTTGTTTAGCACAGCTTTCTTTAAATAAATTACATGCGAAAGACCTGGTATTGATTCATCTTTATCTGTTTCCAAAGATTGGGCAGTCATGCAGACCGATGATGAAAGGCGTAGGATTCTGGGAATCAATAAAAGAGCTTGCGAGAGGGTATGAATACATCATGGGTCTCGTTATTTTCATGCCCATAGCCATCTTGTCCTGGTTCCCATTTGTATCAGAGTTCCAAACACGTTTGCTGTTCAATCAAGCATTCAGCAGAGGTCTGCAGATTTCAATGATTCTTTCTGGAAGAAAAGATACGTCATTACACGAAGGTGTTGAAAACTGTCCACGACAAAAAAATGTCGAAACAAATAACTTGAAGCAGAAAAACAACGTGAAGGGAGAAATCTTTTGAATAGAGGGACCTTAAGTACTTATGCTTTACTAATTCTCTTTTTTTGTCGTGGAAATAGCATACATCTCGTGAGTATTTATAGTGGAGATGGTACAACCTATCTCCTAAACTTCCTCCTCAAATTCCTAATCTCTTAGATCTATTAGTGATGATTATTGTAAAACTTCACACGTTTACCGTAGTTTGAGATTAACAAATTTTGACATTCAGTGGTGTTTTTCCCGACTCTCTTGCATATTCTTTGTCTACTCTCTAATCCATAGGAACTATATAAAATATTTGATGATATGCAACCCATTGATTCTGATATAGCTGCTCTCCCCATGGATCATACATTCAGCAATAAGTCCTAAAATGACAAACTCGATTAACTGGTTTTAGAGGTGGAAAAGGAAGAAAAAAGTAGTTGAAGGGAAACCGACAATCATTGGACCAGAGTTAGTAGGGACTCCAGTGGCCCACCTGAGGGGTCATCCTTAAACAACACCCCATGCTTGTTGCTCACTGCACAGATCACCCGTTTCCCTCATGCCACCGCCATTACCAATCTCATCCAAATTCTCAACTTTATAACTTCTCTCCCTCTCTTAGAGTTCCACCGTCTTCGTTGGCACACTATCCGATGTCTAGCTTTGATGCCCCTAATCTTTTTCCTCCAGACTACTTAATATTGTCCAGCTAGACATATAAAAGCTTGACAAAATTTTCTCTCTTTTATCGACTTCTAAATGTTTCATTTAATTCCCGTTACTATTCCTATTAAAAAAAATATAAAAGCTTGACAATATTAAAATATTTTATTGTATTACGTGAGTGGCTAAAAATTGTATGTATAAAATTAAGTAATTGAGCGCTCCCGTCTTTATCATACGCATTTTCATCACTAATTTAATTCATCACTAATTTAATTCATCTCCCCAAAACTCACGTGTAAAACAAAAATCTCCCCCAAATCAAATTCAATTAAATCTCTCAACATTATCTTTAATATATTTAAATCAAATTATCAATTAACTCAATTTCAAAACCTCCTGAAAATTTTCTTATACTTTAACAATATTAAATTAAGAATTACCAAAAGAAAAAATTATTTTTATTACATTCATAGGCTCATCTCAAGATTCGGATATGTATATATTTTTTCTTACGATTCTCTTTTCATTGGTATCCGCTACGGGCAGGCAATCGGCTAATCCTAGAGCCTACCATTATTCTCCGTCGATCCTCTCTGCCAATTCCTCATTTTGTGTTGCCACGTTACTTGATTCACTCCTCGCTGCCCTTCATTCCCGATTTACCGTCTTACATTTTCCCCGCCGATCTGGTTTACTGTCCGTCACATCCAGATACTTGGGGTTGACTCTCTTTCTTTCTCTATCTCTCTCTTAATTACTCAACTCTTTGCTGTTTATTCAATGCTTTTTTTTCTTACCCAGCTGTTATCTGCAGTGCCATAATCCTGTTCACTTTGTTCTTGCCGTTTTCCCCATCTCCGGCGACCTCCATTGCAACCCCAGTTTCTCTTTCAACCTTTTCCAAGCTCCTTCTCGCTTCTGCATACTCAAACCCACCGTTCTCACCTACCCTTTTCCCCACGACTTCTCATTCCCCCATTGTTGTCTGTAATTTGTAGATTCTCTTCTCTACTTCTCTCTCTCTCCCACATAAATTAGCTTTCGTTCTGCTATTTATCTTGCATTTTCCTCTACCATTCCTTCAATTGTTGCTGACCCTTTGAGGCTGCTTCCCCCGGGAGAATCTGGAATTGGAGGGTCTGGTTTTTTCAGGTCGATATTGGACTATCTATGCTTATTGGGTCCCAGTTGGTTAAAATAGAAGCCCTTTCTCTGCTTCTGTGGGATCTTAAAGAGGAAGATCAAGGGGGTTAGGCTAGATCTGTTGAAAGGTGGATGAAATGCCTTCTACTTTGAACCACTTTCCTTTGTTTTCTTTAATTTGTTCACATTTCTTTTTTATGTCTTTTACTTGAATCATAAGTGATGCCTTCTACAAATTCATACCTTTTGTTTGATAGATTTAGAACTTTTGGTTTCGCTGTTGGTGGTTCATTACTCTGGGTTTTCTTCTACAATGGGATATTGAATTTATTTTGCTTTCTTCGTCATCATGACTTGTACATACGAGCATCAGTCGGGGTTTGTTGTGGAAAGAATAGAATCCAGTTGAATGCTCAATGCTGATGTAAAGTATCTTCCTTAACCGTATTAGTTTCCCTTTTTGTGTTCTATCTCTGGATTTATGCAATATTTTAAGAACTTGTGAAGGAGATTGCAATTTTTGGAGGATATTTCTTATTATGAACTTTGTGTTTTAAATGGCTGTCTAATTGTGAAGAAACTTCAGTAACTTGTGTTATTGATACTAAGCTCTCTCAGGAATCTCTTACCTATAATTTGAGACTGCATGATGTTTTGCATCTAATTCTCAGGTCTAAATGTCTTGATTTATCTGCGGCTGGAACTTAGGGGTCCGAGCCAGTTCGAAGTTTTGGCATCTTGAGGATCAACCATCAGCTATGTCATCTGGAACTACTTTGAATACAGAATTGTCAAAGAAAACGTCCTTCCTTGGTTTGTCCCTATGGGTTTTGATCTGCTTATGTGTTGGTGCATTTATTGTTTTGATTCTTGGTATCTTATCTGTATGGGTGATGTTTCAAAGAAAGACAAGGAGATCCCCAGAAAACTTCTCCACTTCTCAAATACCAAACGTCTCGAAGGATATTAAGGTGGATAGAATCGCGACTCAATCTGCCCACGGCAATCATCTTGAGAACCTTTATCATTCTATTCATGATAAATCAAATGAGAAGAACTCAGAGAAGATGATTGGTCATTTGAGCATGAGCAAGTTGAGTGATCCTGATAACATAAGCCAATGCAGCTCCAATTACTATCATGAAAGGGTTTTTAGCTCACATTCAGGAGAAGAAGGAAGCTCTGGGACTGTTAGAAAGCAGTCTTCCATGCCGTACGGAGGATATGGAGGACTTGTGACTGCCTCTCCTCTCGTTGGCTTACCTGAAATTTCACATCTTGGTTGGGGTCATTGGTTTACCCTCAGGGACCTAGAATTTGCGACACATCGTTTCTCTCCAGACAATGTTCTTGGTGAAGGGGGTTATGGGGTTGTCTATAAAGGCAGACTGATAAATGGAACTGAGGTTGCAGTAAAGAAGCTTCTCAATAATCTGTAAGGAATTTAGGAGTTTGAAACATATATAAAACTATTAGCAATGGTCATTGTTCTCTTAAAGTTCAATTTGCTTCTTCATAGGGGACAAGCAGAGAAAGAATTTAGAGTTGAGGTGGAGGCCATTGGTCATGTAAGACACAAGAACCTCGTACGACTCCTCGGCTATTGCATTGAAGGAGTTCATAGGTACTACTTACACTGTCGGTATGTCTTTAGTTGACTATTTTGAGTCGATTCTCAAAGAAAATGGCTTTTCTCTTTTTACTTGCACAGGATGCTGGTCTATGAATATGTGAACAATGGCAACTTAGAACAATGGTTACATGGCGCTATGCGGCAACATGGCACCCTTACATGGGATGCCCGGATGAAGGTGCTTCTTGGCACTGCTAAGGCGTAAGTAACATCGTTTACACATTTTTATGAACTCGGCACTCTGATTATATACGGTTTCTGATGACCTGACATTATTTGCTTCAGTTCTCTTTAGTCTCAGTTCGTTCGTCCAGTGGTTTTAATTTTTGGTAGAACATTACTTCTAAATGACTGCAAAACTTTCAAACTTGAGAATGTTACCAAACTTCTTTTCCCTGAATACAGGCTAGCATATTTACATGAGGCAATTGAACCGAAGGTTGTCCACAGAGACATAAAATCTAGCAACATCTTAATTGATGATGAATTTAATGCAAAGGTTTCAGATTTTGGATTGGCCAAACTTTTGGATGCAGGAGAAAGTCACATCACGACTCGAGTGATGGGCACATTTGGGTATATGCTTATTTTTCATTCTATTCTATAACCTATTGTGATAAAGAATGTTCACATAGAAGCTAATCGTGTTTTTCGTTTGTCCTAGGTATGTGGCGCCGGAATATGCCAACACTGGCTTGTTGAATGAGAAGAGTGACATTTATAGCTTTGGCGTTCTCCTTCTGGAAGCAATTACAGGAAGGGACCCTGTTGATTATGGCCGTCCTGCTAATGAGGTACTTCTGACTCTTAATAATATTGGTGGTTAGTTTCATTATCGGGCGTCCTTCAGGACTCACTCTTCCATGAATGTATGCTGCACATAATTTCCATATCTCAATTGACATTAGCTTATGTACTTCCCTGCCAGTAATAGTGTACTTTATTCTTCAGGTTAACCTTGTTGAGTGGTTAAAAGTGATGGTAGGCACAAGGAGAGCTGAGGAAGTTATAGATCCAAGTCTTGAAACTAAACCTTCTACACGCGCATTGAAACGTGCCCTTCTGATTGCGCTTAGGTGTGTGGATCCTGAGGCAGATAAGAGACCAAAAATGACTCAAGTTGTTAGAATGCTTGAAGCTGATGACTACCCATCACGCGAGGTACGTGTCGATGAAATATGCAAACCAAGATAATAAATCATACTGCTCTCTCCTGCCTCCTAAACGACCTTCTCTCTTGCAATCCTACTGTTGTGTTAAAAAATTCTCTGGTCAACCAATTTCTTATTCATATTAGTTCACACACAACAGTGTTTATGTTCTGAATTTTCCTTTTCATTGAGATAGATTTTGGGCCAACATATTTCATACTGAAGCTATTAATGATGTCAATCATCAGCAATTGAGAATATGGAGAATTGTTTTGTAGGATCGGAGGAGCCAAAAGAGCAGCACGGCGAACACGGAAATAGAGTCGACGAAAGAGATCTCGAGTCCAGCTGAGGTTGGAAGTAAAGCAGTGGATTCAGAGAGCAGAGAGGGGAACGCATGAGTGGTTTGAAACTAGCTCTTCTCTTATTTGTCATTGCTGGTAGCATGGTTTGAAAGCAGTTGGATGGGTGATGGTCCATTTGTTTCATAGTACATATCACTACTGCACCCTGTTTAGATCACATAAAATTATAGAGAGAGAGAGAGAGAGAAATGTTTGTTGTGGCCACTTGCTCTATCATTTCCTCTTTCACGCCCTTTTTTTGTGAGAGAACACAACTCTCTTTTTCTTTTCTTTTCTTTTCTTTTCTTTTCTTTTCTTTTCTTTTTTGGCTTTAATTGTTGGTTCACTCACCATTGTTATTATAAATTATTAATTTTTTTTGGAAGAAAAAAAAAGAATTTATTTTGAATAACTCTCCATGTTAAATGAAGGCATCACAGCCCAACCAGAAGCTTTTCGGGTTCTTCTTTATTTAATGGGCATTGCTTTTATTTTCATCTTTTTCAAGCACACTTCTTCTTCCCCCTTCATTGGGTATCCATCCTCTGTTTTAATATCATTTCCATCTCCTTAATTTCCGTGAAATACTATGATGATGTCTTGTCCCCAAACCCCATCTTATTATTACTTTCATCTTTCATTATTATTGGATAATCTTCATTTTTCTCTACCCACTTTTGTTGTGTCCATTTTAGCTGTTTTTATTTTCCTTTTTAGTTCCAACTTCGAAAGGTTTTGTAAGGACACTGCTATGTAATAATATATATCGCATTACCTAAAATATGGAACAATTCCAACTCGATTATTGGTGCCTATAGAGATGTTCACGAGGCAAGGATGACATCTCTGCCTCTGTCTTCTCCTCCATTTAAATCCATGTTTCGGTAAGATTTCCTATGGAAAATTTGGAGGATTGGGTTTCTTTTTTTTTAATCTTGAGCTGGGATCGATCGAACTCTCTATGAGATTCATAGTTGCATTATTTATAGCTTCCTTGTTCGTAGACAAAGCTAATTTGGAAGTGTCTTTCATTCCAATGCATAACTTGTATTGTATCCATGTGCTTCCTAGAGTTCGCTTCTAGAAATATAGTCATCCCTACCCCTTCACCTCAATCTCACGAGTCTCTTATCCATTCTCGTTTGATCATGGTGGGGAGCAGGTAAAAATAGAAAAACTCACATTGGGTTTAGGGGTAATCAGGTTCTAGCCATGTAGTGGATTCGGTCTTAGTGTAAAATTTCCTGACTTATAGTGCTAGGTCAGTGAACTGCTGGAGATTGGATTGGATTTGCTCTAATATCTCTGTATCAGTCTGATGTTGAGTTGGATGGTTCATATAGTTTCATGTTTCTTTCTTTTCAATTCCAAACCTAACTATTAAATTACTGATAATTTTACCATCAATCACATTTAATTCAATAAATGCTTCCATAGTTTGTTAGCCTAACTTTTAATTTGACTCCTTTAAGCAAAAGGAATATGTTGATCATAATTAATATTGCAAAATGAAAAGAAAAAAAAATGCTACCTAATAGTTGACAATTGAAAAAAGAATTGCCAAATTTGATAGCCATCGTTTGTCTTCTAGAGAAGCAACTCGAGAGCCGAGCCCAAGGTAGCATCGTCTCCAACTAGACATCCTCATACTAGTACCAATGGAAATGAATCGAGATTGAATTAATAGCCATATTCGAGGGTACAACCCTTTTGAATAGGATCAGTTCTATAGGTTATATAACTGTATCCTTGAGTTTTTATTCGAGGGTCGTTTATTTAGCCTAACCTCGAGGACAACAAACCCCATTATTCTGTATCGCTTATTAATTGGTACAACCCACATTCAAAATTCGACAAACTTGGAACTCCATGTCTTTGTAACGTTCCTTGGAAGACACAGCATCCAATAATTAATGTAAGGTTGACCTTGAAACTTGTCATTAAACAGGCTGCACAAAGTCAACTCTCCATTCATTCCTCTACCGCTTGAAACCTTCCTTCTTAATTTTAGCTTGTTTTATAATGAAAATTATGGGTATTTTTGGGGTTACAAAGTTGAAAATAGGCCATAGATTTTAGAGATGTTTAAGAACATAAATGAATATTATGTATACAATATAACATGAAACATGCATGCATATCTATACTAATGTTATCATAATTAATGTATTAATTAGTTGGAGATTATTATATGTTAGAGTTTTGACATGATTTATAAAGTTAATTAAACAAATCTTTGTAATCCAAGTTGGAGATTGCGAATTTGACCAGCAACCAACCCACTTGATCTTGATGCTTCATCTCTGCGTCTATTTGAATAGAATCGTGTTTGTTCATATCTATGCTTGGATTTAATCAAAATTAACTGAAATTTTGATCAAATTCAACAACATATTGGTTGATCACTACTCTGGGTTCGACTAAATTTTCATTTTGATCCCGTTCGTTCGTTTCCACCTGAATAAAACATCAATTACTATCGTCCACAATAATCAAAATAATGATGCCTTCACCAAGACAACTTCGATCTGAATCATTTAAACGACATATCAGTCTCTGTCAATCAAGGCAGAGATTATTGAGCAACGAGATGTAGTCTTCATTTGAAAATCATCAAGAAGGACAAATTATCAGCCATGTTGACTGCTTCCTCATTCATTAACTCCTGATATTGCAATTATTATGGTTCGTTTTGCTTTAGTTTTTTGTTCTGATCCTGCTTTGTCTTCTAAATTATTGTCTAATTCTCTCACTTCCTCCATCCTACAACATCGAACACACTTAAAATTTCATCGATTCATAGAAATTCGTTATCTAGTTCTTAAAATCCCACCTCGGTTGGAGAGGAGAATAAAACATTCTTTACGAGGGTGTAGAAACCTCTTCCTGGCGGAAGCGCCTTAAAAACCTTGAGGGGTTTGGATGAATATCCCACGTTGGCTGATTTAGGGAACGATCATAGGTTTATAATCAAGGAATACTATCTCCGTTGGCATGAGGCCTTTTGGGGAAGCCCAAAGCAAAGCCACGAGAGCTTATTCTCAAAGTGGACAATATCATACCATTGTGGAGAGTCGTGTTACTCTAACCGAAGGAAAGCCGAAAGTGAAATATGAAAGAAGACAATGAGCTATTATAAGTTTATCTGCATGCATGGGTGAACCTAATCACGATCATGAACCAAAATCAAATATACATAAAAACACCCTCCAAAAATGTTGGAGAGAAAATTGGTCTTTTACATACGTAGACAATGCAAAAACATGCATGATAAACAACGTAGGACAGGTTCTGACGCCTCCATTATATGTTAGCTACATGGGTTTATCCTAATACAATAGCCAGGAAATATATATAATATATACACAATATAGATATTATTCTCATAAGGAAAGAACCTATTTTTGAGTGAACAAATCTTGCAACAAACCATAATGATCAGGCATTTGAAGGCTTAGATTCTGGTACATCAGGGATGCCGGGTCAGCTCGGGAGTTGGTCGGTAACAAATGCGAAAAGAGTTCATGAGGAAGCGTAGGACCAGATGAGGGGGCGGTGAGCGACGTCGACGCCGCCGATGCATAAAACGGAGACGACATGATTCCAGCAGAATGGCCTCGGAGTGTAGCTGGGCAATGGTGGTTGTGTTGACCTTCATATGTAGTAATCACCACAGAAGGATCTTGATATGATCTTTCCACTCGCTTCTTCACTAAACACTTCTGACTCGTGCATCTGTAGTAGCTTCTGCAGGTTTGTCACACATTTATCATATTACTACATTAAACAAATGTATGATGTAATTAAGTTACAAGGTAATTAAAAGGTGAAAATAATTATGATTAACCTTGGGTAAGGACTGTTTTTTACTGCCTTTTGTCCATATTTTCTCCATCTATATCCATCTTCAAGGTGATCTATCTCACTCTTTGTCAAGAAAGCAAACCGTGGCTCCCTCTGCCTCTTCTCTTTCTTTTTTGATATGTTGTTCCTTACAAAAATAATTATATTAATTTTTTTTTTTTTTTTTGGAGTCAAATCCTCCTCCAATTAAACCATAAAAAAATAAAAAAATTCAAAAATTCAAAATTCACATACTGTTTCTTGGACTTTTCTTCATCTCTTGGGTCCTCTTTGATGCTCTTGATTGAATCTTCTTCAACTACGGCCTCATTAGACGAAGACGACACAGAAGAATTCTGGGTGGTTGAAGATTGGTTCAAATTCTTGCCTCCACAAGAAGCCTTGTTTTTCGACACGTCGTCCACCGGAGAAATGACTTCAGATGAAGAGCACGACACGTCGAACGCTCTCGACAGGCTGTTGTAGTCCAACGAGGTGTCGAAGAAGTTAGTGAAGCTCATCAAAGCAGGATCCAACGGCGGGTGCTGCTGATGGAAGATCGAACGGTTCATATCCAGCTGGTCGTAATGGAATGGATCATACGGCTGGTATAGATTCTTGCCTTCTTCATTTGACATTTGGAAATAATATGATCAAATAAATTAGGGTTTTCCAGATCGAGGAGTCTCTGAAGAAGAAGAAGAAGAAAAAAAAAAAACCCAAGCTTTTGCCTCATAAACTCTCCACTCTCCTTTTGTTTTTTTTCTTTGTTAATTCATTGCACATGAATTGACAGGCCTTTTAAAAAATTAATGTTAAATTATTTAAATAATTAAATATTTTAGATCTAGAAAATATCGGCTCTTTTATTTTTTTTAACTGGGTCAATTTATCAGCAGTTAAAAAACACAGCAATTCCATTAATTTAATCTCAACTATCTACAAAGTAATTGCAGTAAAAAAAAGAAGAAGAAAAAACTTAATTTACGAGTCGCAGTCATTAGTAGTCAACAATTCCAGCTTATAATGTATTGATAACCCTACCCATTCCTTCTGACACGACGCCACGTGTGAGAAAACCGGCACCGGCGTTTGACCGTTGTTCCGGCACGTGGGAAGACGCTATGTGGTGGTGGTGATCAAACCCTGACGTCATTTCAGAAGTCATCAAAACCCTAATTCCCATTATTCTCTCCCCGTGATTTAAACCTTTTTTCTTTTTCTTTTTAAATATATATTTATTTAGTACATATGTGTATATAAAGTTATGTACATATGTGTGACAAAATAAATGATTGTGAGGACTAAAGAAAATATTGGAACCCCGAGATTTACGATTTATAATATTTTAAGTTAAACCAAACATGAAAAGAAGGAAGGAAAAAGAGGGATAAGAAAGAAGGGTTCCTAATCAAGTTGACTTTGATTAGACGTGTCTAAATAGACCTAATCAACTGTTCACAATATTATTGTTAGATTATGTTTCTTCCTTTCATATTTAGCACCCTAATTCGAGTTCAACAAATGTAATGATAATATAAATCACATTTTGTATTTTGCCTTTCCCCTATGGGGGCAAATCCGACATTAACCAAAGTCCCCATTAATTTTTTCATTTGGTTATTACATTCCAAAATTCCAAAATTTTACAGTTTTACCTAAGTTAAGAGTTTAATTTAATATATGTAGGTTGATTTAGTTGACATTTTTGGTATACCCTTTCCGTAAATTTATTTGTTTTTTTATAAACAAAACAAAAAGACGTCAACAAAATGTGTGTAAACATGGAACATATTTAAAATTTTCGAATTTCTTATATTAGCAACGACATAATCCCAGCTAATACGAAGAATCCTTAGGTGAGAGAAAATATCCAGGATTTTTAATTTTATTAATAAAATAAAATATAATGGGAGAATAACAAGTTTGACTCGGTCAAACTTGTTGAAGTTGACACATTCCAATCTCTAATTTTATACAATTTTTGCCCATATATATATTTTAAATAAGTATTATTTGAATTATGAGTGTTGTGATCAAGTATGAAAGCGTTGGGAGCAACAAGGGGAAAAGAAATGAAATTATAATATCTATATATATATAAGTACAATGTATTAAAAGCTTTAATTTCAATGAATGCATAATGATGCCTATAGAAAAATGAAGGAAATGAGAGCTATGGTTCCGCCAATCAAGAAATTTTAATAAATTACGATAGAGATTAAAGAAATAGAGAGAGTTAGTTTTGTTGGGACGAGAATAGTCAAAAAAGCTAAATTTTATTGGACATAGTTGACCCTGTGACATAGGCTGCTTTTTTAGGCCTTAATTTGTTTGCCTTTTCTTTTTCAAACCAAAGTTTAGTTTGGGGGGGATAACAAAATGGGCTCTGATTCTGATTCTGTGGCTTAGTGTATTCCATAGCTCGATTCACCATTACATCATAACAGCGTTTTGGAGTCAATTTTGTTGGTTAGGTTGGTATGGATCACATCATGGGCCTCGCTGTGGCCCCAACGCATGATGCCCTCATTCTACCAAATCCTAAAAGGACCTTTCCTAAACAAACTCCGACCGATAAAAATAACTTACGTAAATATGATATTTCTATTATTGTATCCAGATTCTGTAAAATTGAGATCTCCATATTTCTATCGAATTTTAAACTATGGTTTCGAGTAATTAATGGTTGTGTTAAGCTCTTATGTCGTGAAATGTGAAGATGAAATAATGCTGACTTAAAGAAAAAAAAACTAAAATAATTATTTATAATAATTTGGAAATGATGGGGCATAAAATTTTATCATGGGCCGTGCAAATTCGAATGGGTCACATAATGTAGACTGTGGGCGGTCCAAGTTTGGGCCTTTTTCTGATCCATGGGCTTTCATTTTGTCGGGCTTTATTTTTATTTTTTAATTATTTTCTTCCAAAAATTTAATGTTGTTTCGGAAAGAATTGGCCTGCAACTGCAAGCATTCAGGAGGTCGGAACGAGAAACGGAGATGATATTGAACTCTGCAGCAGCCGTGGCTAAGGTTGTTCCTTTCCGGCCTCTGTTGAAGCCGATACGTGCCTCTTCCAATATCAGCACCGAACGGCTACGCGAGGAGCTCAGTCACCTTCATTCTGAAGCAGACAGCACAAGAACCAAAGGTCTGTGTGCGTTCTTTTGCCTGCGCTACTACTGCAATTACTTCCTATAATCTTAGCCAAATTAGATGCTTATTCCAGTCTCATTTCTTTTGGTTTCTTGTTAATAAGTTTTTGATTTGCGAGTTGTGTGTTGGATTGTTGAATTGGGAAATGGCAATGGCTGTCGTGCATTATTCTTTTCTGCCGCGAAATTTAATTTACCTGATTTTTCGCTCCAATACCCTTACAATTATTGTTATCTGTCTCAATGACCTGTTTTTGGAATGAAATTGTGGTTAATATAGCAAACAATGCGAGAATGAGACTTTTGAGATTGTCTGAGGCTGCTGAGAAGCTACGGCGGCAGGCTGCTATTAGCGTACGAACAGGGAAGGAAGATGACGCGAGAGATCTGCTTTTCCAGAAGAAGAAGGTAGTGCAAGCGTTGGAGAAGTCAAAGAGTCGAATCAAGCTGTTTGATGAACTGTCAGCAAAGCTTAATGAGGTAAAATAAAGTAATAAGCAAAGCTTAATGTCTTACTCGTATTTACGCACTAATCTGGTGGAGCTTTTAGTTACTGCAATGTCCTATATGTTCAGTTACTGGACTTATATATTCCAGTTAGTCCGTTTGTGATATCATTCATGTCGTTGAAGCGTTGCAAAGGGTTGTCAAATGATAAAACAGAACTCACTAGGTACTCCACTTTGGCCAAGAAGCATGCGGCGTGGACTCCTATAGAGTTCTTGACCAAGGATAATTTCAAAAGGGGTTTATGTGGGCAAAAGCACAAAAGAAAAGTAATGCTTGTAATACTATGGTAGCATACCATGGCTGGTTTTGTTTTAATGCACGAAAAAACGACGAAAACTATCAGTTGCTTGCATTTGGAGGGGGATAATTTAATGGGGATCTTTGTGACGAGGTTCTCTTAGTGAAGATGATTGACTATACATGATAAGGACATACACGGCAATGCTACTAGTGATAGTCGTAGTATTCAATTCATTTGGTGCATTGCTAGCGCTCTTTTTGTACAGCTTGTGAAAGAATGAGTACATTTTGGCCATGGATACAGCAGCCTGGAAATTTACCTCATAGATCTTAAAAAGGGAGGGTGTGATCGCAAGTGGAGGTTTTTTGGTAATAGCAGCCCTGGCAGTTCTGTTTCCTACACTCACCCTTTTGTTTCTGTTAAATTAGTTTTCTAATCTGGTTCATATTATCCAAGAATCTGCTCTTCAGTTTTAGCAATGAAATAGCAACTACTCGGTTTTCTTAGGCAATATACATAAAAGAGAGTCAGCTAATCGGGAATATTGATTCGGATCTGACAATGACCACTGAAGATGGGTCAAGCCCAGTTCGAATTGCCTCTTCAGAGCAGGAAGCTGCAGAAGATTCAGATGAAACTGATATTGAGTGTAAAGATGTAAATCTTCCAGAAAATCAAGATTTGCAGCCTAATGCAGAGGATCGTGCAATCGTGGATAATGACGGAGAGCAAGAGGCCCTTACATGCTCTGATTTAGGGAGTGAAGATGAAATGGTAATCTGTTTAAAGGGAGCATCATCTTATGAGGACTTCATGGAAAACTTGGACAAACAGCTAAACATAATTGAAGATGAACTCAACACCGTGCTGAGGGCTTCAACAGTTCTATTAGATGGTGAGGATAAACAAAAAAATTTAAGAGTGCAGCAAATAGTGGAACTTCAAGATAGCATCCGGCTTATCAGAAAGAGGTAATCTATTCTTCACCACCCCCATTAAAAAAAAAACACAACATTTCGATCATCATTGAACTTTCACCCTGTTTAAAGGGTGGGGATTCGACATGAAATCTGAAATTGCTGGCAATCTAATAAGGTTATTCCACTGTTTATGTTGACAGAATCTCAAGTTTCAAGTTGGCAAATGCGAACATCAGGTAATACTTGGCTTTGGAGCACTTGTTTCTTGTGTATTCGTAAACTATGTTTCTAGTTTTTGGTCGCTTGATGCGAGATACCTTTCATATGGAGAACCCAATGTTTTCAAAGAGTTCAAGGAAATGCAATTTTGTTGCCTATTTTCTATGCACACTTGGGAGATATAGTTAACCAATCAAGCCTAGTTAATTGAGTACAGCTTACCAATCCAAGGTGAAGGAAATTGGCGAATCAAATCTTTCCTCAAAATACCAACCAATTGTAAATAATGAAAAGGAAATAAAAAAAAAATTTAAGTACAACAATTTTGGGCAGTAATGCTCTATCCTGGTAGATACAACGGGCAAACAAGTAGTCATCTTGTACCGCCACATCAGGAGCTTCACTTCTCTCCACTCCAATATATAAAATAGATTTGGATGTTAACTTTCCTACCAAAAAGAACTTTCGAAGGCCAGTTCCAGGAGGCTTGCACTTCCAATGATATTGTGCCTATTGCTCGAGCAAAACTACGCTAAACCTTTGTCCTCACTGAAGATCTCTTACTCATATTTGACCTCTCTCTTTTAGCATCCCTATCCCTAGAAGGTCTTTTCGCACTCAAGTTCCTTCTCTTTGATGATCGCATCCTGTCTCTAACAGAATTTTCTTTGAGATCAACATGTCTCTTATTACGTCCATCCTCTTTTCGATCAGCCTGAATGTTTTGATTACTACTAGCATTTTCATCTTCACCTTGGTCTTCCTCTTCATCTTCATCTTCATCATCAGAGTTGAATAATTCAGCTTCATTCTGTTTCCCAGATCCATCATCTGACCCTTCTTTCTGTTCTTGCTTCTGTTGGCGAGTACTCTTATGCTCGCTAGTGGTTTTACTGTCTTCCTTCACTGTGTTCATAAGGTGAAGATACTTGTTTCTAATGATCATCAAGGGGCTACTCTCAATTACCGAACCCCTCTTATACGCTTCTTTCAAGACAACTGTGTAGGTTCCAGCCTTACTCGATAGATAGAATATCCCTGGATGGTGAAGCAATGCTCTCTTAAACCTTGACCGAAGGCCAAAGTACTCTCCTATCCCCAATACAGTTTCCTTCTCGGTCTTCTTCGTGACAAGCATATGAAGAAACTCGTGTAAAATCGCAACAGACCACTTATCAGATTCATCGCTATTTGGAGGGAGATGTGTTGCATTTATGTAGGGAGAAATGTAAGGTAGCTTTTGCCACTCATCCACCCACTTCTTGAACTTCTTGTCCATCTCAAACCCGTTTGAGTATTTCATAGGAAAAGTAATAGGCATTCCCTTCGATGTGCTGCCGGGTTTTCCTTTTGCGGCCATCTTCTCTAAAACTGAAGTGGCCAATTCATTGTTCCAACATACCAATTCCAACGCTTGCATAGTGCCCCATCCAGATGCAAAATTTTGGTGTCCTACAACTTTGAAGTAATCCGGAAACTCAGGAACTATACTTTGAACATAATCTTTGGGAAGACCCAGCTCCCATTTCAATTGATCAATGATACTTAAAGGTATTTTATGGACTCTCGATAGCATCAAGAGCTTCACAAGTCGATCTGCAGCTTGTTGTCGACAAATTTCACTTTGATACGTTAACTGCTCTTCAGCATCAAGTTCAAGGACCTGAGAAGTTAGCCGGACATGAGGTTGAATGCCAATGCCTCCAGGGAGAAATTCTTCAAAAATGGTGGGATATTTTCTGATCAAATCAATGGGACGCGTCGGAATCCTTAGAACTTCCCTTTTCTGAGTTATGATGGAAACTGGAACAGACTTGGACGGCTCTGATTTTATAAAATTCTTTATATTCATCACCGGCAGAAGGTTCTTCTCTCTCTCAACAGCATGATCAAGACCACGATCTCGAACCCATTTAATTGTGCCGTCTACATATGTTCGAAGGCTTATCTGAAATACGTGGCTTTGCTGTCGGCACTTGTGGGGAGGTCCTGAGCAAAAGCGGAAGAACAGAGACATTGTAGTCCTCTACTTGGCTTCACTTTCTTTGTTGTTTCGTTGATTGAGCTTCAAAAATAATGAAAACCGAGCTATCTGAAACCATTCCCAACACAAAATGCATAAACACTAACAGTGAACACAATAAATAAAAATGCTGGACAAAGTTTCGACCAAACCCCAAGTATCTGTACAATACAAAAACCAACAAACCTTGTGACTACTTAAATCATTGGGTACAGGAAAGACTTAAGCTAAAAGATCAAAAAGAAATTTTGAGGAGAGTAAATGTTACCGGCGCTGGCAGTGGACGGTGGCTGACTGCAGAGGAAGAAGAGTAAAAAGTTTTGAGGCGATGGCGACGGTCGGCTGAAGGTTGAAGTCTGATATGAAGAGACGAGGAACGACGGCGAGTCAAGGGGAGAACGGGAGAAGAGGAGGCAACGACGAACGAGGGCGAGTGGCACGGCGACCAGGCGGGGAGAAGAGAACGATTGAATGCACGTAAAACCCTTAAATATATATATATATAACCGGTGCGGTTCGATCTGACCCGAAAATTTCCCATTGAACTGGAGAACCGACCGGTCATTACTTCAAGAAGCCACTCAATCCAAACCGAACCCAACCTAATGCTTCTGAAACCTTACTTCTTTCCCTCTACATAGAGGAGAGGCTGCTGCTATAGAATTTAGAAATTCGAATTGAAGATAGAAGGAGCACACGTGAGAAGAGCGTGCGTGTGTGGGAACTGGGCAGCCCTAGCCCAATTATTTGGGCTGAAATCTTAGGCCCAATTGTCCAACTTCCTTGACTTCCAGCCCAGGACAACATTTGGGCTGAAATTCCAGGCCCAGTTGTCTATGCTTCCTTACAGTTCGAGCCCAAGGCAACGTTTGGGCCAAAATGTCAGGCCTAATCGTACCGGTAAACTCTGCCTGCGCTTCCGTCAGGCCTTCATCGTCAAGCATGAACATCCTCCATAAGAACATAACCCATTCATTAACTTTTTCTGCTGCCCACTTCACCATCTCTGTGTTCCCATATGTTCTACGAACTGTGACCCCTCGTATGATTGCATCTGCCTTAATTGGCATGGTTTTTAGGAGCTGCTCTGCTTCTTCAAGAAACCCAGCTCGGCTGAACATGTCCACCGTTAAATTGTAGTGTTTTGTTGATGCATCAATTCTGTATGTGTTTTTTGTCAGTGAGAAAAATCCGCTGCCTTCGTTCTCCATAAAGCTAACAGAATCTGGTTTGAGACTACTTCCTTTTCGCAGCCATTCACTGCCAGGCCAAAGATCGTGGAGTTCCAACTAAATATCCTCTGTTGGGCATTTTCTCAAACACCTGAAGGGCCTTCCCTATGCTACCACATTTGCTGTACATGTCTATGATCGCTGTTGCTACATTGGCACTCAACTCTAAATTGTTCTTCTTTATGTACTCGTTATCCATTCCCCTTGCCGAAAGTGCTCCAATTTGAGTTGAAGCATTTAACAAGCTCACCATAGTAAACTCACTAGGCTGGATTCTCTCTTCTTGCATTTTGACAAACAGCTTGAGAGCTTCTTTGAACATCCCATTTCTAACATACCCACCAATCATAGAATTCCAAGAGATCGGGTTTCTAATAGGCATTTTATCGAACAGCTTTCCTCGACTCACCAATTTCCCCACATTTAGCCACACCCATAATCATGGAGTTTCATGCAACGCCATCGAATTCCATTTCTTGTTTAAGATTCGACGTGCTTTATAGAAAGCCGCCATTAGCATACATTTACAGAAGTGTGTTTCTGTTAAATGAATCGAACTGAAGGCCTAGCTTTAGTGTTTTCCTATGAGGCTAAGCTCCATCATGGGCACGTCTTGAAAACTGATGGATAAGTCAATTTTTGGGGTTCTACTTGTGAAGAAACCAACATGTCGATGAAAAGAGAGCAATTTCAGGGTTTAAGCTTTGAGAGAAGCCTCTTCGTACGGTATTCCAAGAAAAAGGATTAGAATTTCCCATTTGCCGAAAGACCAAATATGTGAAGGGAGCCCACAAAAATTTACATATTTTTTCACTTTTGATTCTCAGGTTTTAGTTTTTACCTCACAGAACTCACGAAGTAGCTGAAGAAGGTGTTGAACTTTCCAGTGGTGTGGCCATGGCAGAAACTCCGTCATCCAATTCCAATCTAAGGCGGGGCCACCATCCACCCAAAAAAAGAAGTCATCATACACATGGGCCATCGGTATTGTTACTTTCTAATCCGTCTATAGTGCAAACAGCAGGCTTAGGATTCACTTTCAGACTGTCCACTTTATAATCATTTTCACATTCACCATTTTTTGTTTGGAAACTTTTGGCCTGGACTGGACCTGAATTGAGGACTTCCATTCAAAATGTGCGGTGCTTTTTCTACATGGGTTCTGTTTACAATATTCATGCTCTGGTTGGATCTCAAGATTATGCATATCCTTAATAGCTTTCTTTAGTTAATGTTTGGGATTTGGGCTGCTTTGAGTGTATCAAAGGCAGTTTTATACATATGTATATGAACATTCTTGTCAGGATTGATGATCTTCCAACTGAATTTCCTTCAACTACCTTGGACTTGTTGTATATTTGACAAGGGATAGTTACTTGAAAGATTCTGTGGTGACCCACTGTCCTCCAAATTAGGATTTCCCTTTAATCAACTGCGCTGTAGTTAGTCAAGATTGTGGGATCAGAAGGAAATAATTAGGCAGGAAAAAGATTATCCCATTTTTAATGGATACATGCTGGAGTGGCCAGAAAGGAGAAGGGAAAAGAAAACATATCATTACCATCATTACAACAACAATTATCAGTAAGCAGCCCACATTAAAGAACTAAATTTCAATCATATCTTTCTTTTTGTTAACTATCCTCGGGCTTCCCCCATTTCCCTCTCTTTTCCTTCCTCTGTTTGTCATTTGCTCGCCCCCTACACCCTATGTCTACTCTCTCTCTCTCTCCACCCAAAGAAAAAGGGAGCACTTGGTACTTTCGAAATGGATATTTTACAGGACAAGGAGTGTAAAGTCTTCAACTTTCGGACAAGGTAATGATGCCACTCAACAATATCATATCATCTTTTCATGCCCAACTCTCTATATTTAAACCAGGACAAAAGTAGGAAACTCTAGTAATTAAGGAACTAACACCTACAAGTGGGAGGATGAGGAACAGCCCGATCATTAGAAGAAGAACAGGAGGACTGACCCAGGAATGGCTCATACAAAGCCTCATATTCCTCATTCTTGCTCATTTTCTCTGTCCAGGTGACTGATTATTCATTTCTTCTCTACATTTGGAGTATATATGATGATCAAACGTCTACTTAAATATTTCTATTCTAGGCATTTAGTTCATTCCAATTGAATTTTCTTTCGTTTCTACAGACAAAGCATGTACCTGTTCTTCTATCTTAACTGTCTGCTACACAACCTTAAATGCCTATTAATTTTTTCTCTGCGTATTATTCAAATTTGTACTTTTTTTCCTTATGGCCGTGTTTATCGTTTAATATTCATCTCTTACAAATATTTCTCATTTGGGTCTCCTAAGAATAACTGTTCTGAGATGTTGATTGTGATTATTACTGAAATTTAAACTACTTTTTAAATTCAAGATGTAGTAAGTAAACAATTTTGATCTTGTTGACTCTGAATCTTATGACAAAGATAATTTAGAGTAAACAATCAGATATTAGAAGTTTCACTCATGTTTGCTCTGGAATCTTTATATGATATGCTCAAACAAGCGTCCACAGGGCTTGCTAGATTTTTACAGGCTAATATGAACTTTCATCAACTGTTATTTCACTGCACTTGTTATTCTAATGATGGTGAATTTCAACTGAGTTTTTTTGTGTCTTCATGAAGGTTTTATTTTGTTTTGTTCCATTTCCAAGTTCAGGAAGATGAGTTTATTATTGTTCCTTAGACAACAATGTGAGAAAAAATAGCTTGAATTTTGAGTCTGGTATCCAAAATGACAGGACACACAAGAGAGCTGAACCATGAGAATCAGAAATTCAGTTCCCCAGTTTCCACCACTCAAAGGGATATCACCACCCCTATAACAACTGTTCCCACAATAATTCTGTCCAATCCCACTGCATCAACTCCATTTCTCAATCCAACTTCAACCTCGGACACATATTCTCCGACCATGGAATCTCCCAAAAGATCATCTCCACCGTTGTCAGGGGCAAGTTGGTGCATTGCTAGTCAAAGTGCATCACAAACGGCATTGCAAGTTGCTCTAGACTACGCATGTGGCCATGGTGGTACTGATTGTTCAGCAATTCAAACTGGTCAGAGATGTTACAACCCAAACACCATTCATAATCATGCCTCCTACGCATTCAATAGCTACTATCAGAAGAATCCCGTTCCAAATAGCTGTAACTTTGGTGGGACTGCTGTCATTACTAGCACTGACCCAAGTAAGTTGCTTCCTTCACAAGTTGTTCCTTTGTTGCCTAACTGGATCATAATGTGTTCGTTTACCACTCTTTCTCCTTTTCTTTTATTTATTTTTTCTTTTTTTTTTTTCTTTTGTGGAGAGCTTTTTCTTTTTCTTTTTCTTTTTTTCTTTTGGGGAGGGGGTTAAGGGAGGGCTGAGCAAGATAAGGCAAATTTTTAACAATTTGGTCAAGATACTTCAATGTTACAAGACTGAACTGTAACAATCGAAATCCTACCGCTAGCAGATATTGTCCTCTTTGAGCTTTCCCTTTCGGGCATTGTCCTCTTTCAGCTTTCCCTTTCGGGCTTCCCCTCAAGGTTTTAAAATGTATCTGCTAGAGAGAGGTTTCCATACCCTTATAAATAATGTTTCGTTCACCTCCCCAATTGACGTGGGATCTCACAATAAAAACTGATTCTCCAAACTAGTCCAAAGAATCGAGGAGGTCTAGCCATAGAAACAGAACCCACATTGTTGCAATGCTAACTGAGAGAGTTCCTTCTAAATAACCAGAAGATTTGGGTTGGTGAAGGAAGAAGGTTAGGTGTGTCTGTAGGGACTATAAAGTGACGTGAATTATTGAAGAAGCTGTAATGGGATGTAATGGAATTCTTCTTTCTGCAACTGGTAGATATTTAGCGACATAAAACTTCATAGATTGACTCTGTCTCTATAAAGCCTGGTTTGCTATTTTTTTCAGGTACAATGGCATGTCAGTATACATCCACTAGGTAAAAGCCCCATCATCCACTGCTTCCATTTGCTTTCCTTTCCTTTCCTTTCCTTTCCTGCTACCACCATTCATATCCTAACAATCCCACTGTCTTTTTGCAACTCTCCAGCACAAGTTCATCAATTCTAAACACCACAAATTCCAAAGGATCAACAGTGTTTGGAGGTGTACCCTCAAGCCCCTCTCCTTCAGCAGCAACTTGTCAAGAAATAAATGTTGTGCAACAATTGTTGTTGGTGACCATGGTTTCTCTCAGATTACTATACAGCAACAACCATCCTCGTGAGTGATTGGTAACCACAAAACTAACTTACCCAATTGAAGTTGGTTGAAAGATGAGTTGGATCAAGGAAGAACAGACATATCTGGGCCATGTGTTTTCTAGTCTATTTGCTCATAAGTTAGTAGAGAAGAATTTGAATGCTGTGTTGGATGTGTAGAGCATATGCACATGTCTGCTACTTAAAAAAGGATGAAACCCTTTTTTTGTTGATGTGAGATCTGTCTGGTTTTTTATTGCAGAGCATCTTGTTGTGACACATTGTAGAAAAACAAGTAGCAGCAGCAACCATACATCAATCCACTCTTCTTCTTCTTGTTTCCATTCTACATTTTGTACCTTTCCTCTTGAATTCCTCTGTGTTTTTCCCTTGCTAATATACTGTTCTTTTTATACGACTCTTATAATTTAATTCATTTGAAATTATTGGTTTATCCAATTTTTATAATATTATATTGCAGCAGTCGTATAAAAAGAATCTTATATACCTTTTCCACGTCACCATTGCCTTTCTTTTTCATATTTTTTCTTTATTCACTTAATATTTAAATTATTTTTTATTATAATACCATGAACTTTGAAATTTCCATGTCCATGAATTCTCAAACATATTTGATAGTATTTTATTGTCTACACATGTGATCTAAATTTGTTATTTTAAACATTTTAGATCCAATTCAAGTTTTTAAACTATAATTCACTCAAAATTAACCCCATCCTTCTAAAAAAAATTATAAATGGATTGTTTGTGTATTTATTAATTTAATTAAAGGAAGAAATTTTCAATCAGCATCTGATATTATTGTGAATAAACACTATTTATGTCTGCCAATAACAGTGGTTGTGAGTATTTTGTTCTTTCATTATTGATTGAAAAAGAAATGCATTTTTTCCACTCTCTCTCTCTCTCTAATATTATTTATTTATTTCAAAAAAGAAAAAGAAAAAAAAAACTGAGAGAGGATGATAACTTGTTCCTAATTTCATAAGCCACGTAATATCATATAAATTTGGGTCCTCCCAATAGAAAAATCGTTTAATCAACAATGTCAATATCAATATCAATTTATTCCTTCATACATTTAATTCTTTCAAGCAAAAATGAAAATTCCACCCATAACACTCCCATCCAAATTTTATGATACGTCTAATTAGATATTCTATTCCTTTTGACCCACATCTCCATTATTTAATTTATACTCAATTTGTCACTCTATATAGTCTCGAGCTTATCCTAATAATTCTAACTTATCTTATTAATATACTATATTTTCAACCGTTAATCATAGTATAACCCACTTAAAAAAAATCATAGCATCTTAGTCCATTTTTCCTCTCTAATTATTTCTTTTATTTAATAAAAACCCATGAAAAGTTAAAATATATATTTAGAATTTGGTGAAAAAAAAAAGAGAGAGAGAGAGAGAGAGAGTGATGATAAAATGATAAATATGAATAAAACGAAAATGAAAAGGTGAAAAGAAATGGCACCAAATTATAGTTGCTTGTAATCCAGAGGCGAAGTTAAGCACAGCCAATCCCTCCATTTCTGTCAATTCTATAATTATCTCAACGTTGAATCCCCTTCCACAATGGAAGACCGCCAATCCCTCTCTCTCCCTCTCCTTCCCGGCACCAGCGCCGCCGTCACACCCACTTCTCCCAACCAATCCCCCTCCCTCTCCAACCACGCCGTCGCCGTCCGCCTCCTTCTCGTCGCCTTCATCGGGATCACTTCACTCTGGGCCAATCACGAAGCCTCAAAAGGCTTCGACATCACCATTCTCAACAACGCCAAAGGCTCCCCCGCCGGTCAACGCTTCGATCTCTTCTACGTCTCCAATGACGAAGCCACGCGCCTTGTCCTCAACGCCAGTAACTTCGTCGAGAATCTGATCTACCCTTCTCAAACCTTTCCAAAGAAGAAAGTTAAGAGCGTGCATCTCACTCTCTCCCTCCGCGATCTCCCTTCTAATGTCGCCGTCGAGCATCTCGACGGCGGAGTCGACTTTGTCGTTTATTTGAGCCCTTCGATTTTCAACGACAGAAACGTGAATCACGCCATGTCAGCTGCGATTCTCAGAGGGATGTCACGCGTGTGGCTGTGGAATGGAGAGGGCTACGCGCCGCCCTCGCTTCTCGCCGGAATGGTCGAGCACATAACCGCATCGGCCGGATTTGTCGAGAAGAAATATTCGGGTGGGGTCGTTACCACGTTGATGGCATGTGATCCCATGTGGTGGAAGGATAAGGACCCTACAGAGGTCGCAATTTTTCTCGAATATCAAGAGAGACAGCAGAAGGGTTTCATCCAACGGTTGAATCAAGGATTGAAGTCCAGGTGGCAGGATCGGACGGTGGAGGATGCGGTGGGTGTGCCAGGCGAGCGCCAATGTGATTCGTTCAATTCTTCCGGAATAAAGGTATAGGCAATTAGGGGAATGGTCCCGTCCACATGGGTCAATCATTTGAATCCAACGCGTCCTAGAATTGCCACGTCGGATGGGTTTGTCTCGTGCTTCTTTGTTTTTTTTGTTTAAATTTAAATTTTTTTCCGGCATTTCCTCTTACAATTTTGTCTATTTACTGTTCATAAAATATCTGGTAAGCTGTGGATTTGTACAACTCATGTTAAATACTCGTGAATGCTACACACAAATGCTGATGCTCTTTTAAATACTTCTTTCCTTAAATCATATATTTTCCTAAATTTTGGATATATATTTTCTATATTTATGTATGTCGCCCTTTGTGATCCCATTTAATTTCGGGCATCGCCCTCATATATTTTAGGGCGAGATTTTTCACGAAAAAATTATGGAAGTAAACACTTTCGGTTTATTCATTAAGTGGATAATTTTTAAATTGGAGTTTTTGATGTACTTTTTATAAAAAGAGGACGAAAAAGAAAACGGTGCACGTTTGGAGGGTTCGAGTTGGAGAACTTATGGACTTACAACAAAGTCGAATGGTAATCTGTAGAGTCTAACACCCTACCGCGTTTAATTATTGTTATAGGCACTTTTAAGAATATCCTTGGAAAAACATGGGAGAGGAGTATACATTTAAATCATTTATCTTCTATGTAATGTCGGAGATGGAAAGTTGTCTATGATTAGGCTTTATTGTTACGATATTTTTTTAGAGGAAGAAAGAAAATCTTGATCTTATTCTTTTGATTTGTAAATTTGTCCGACTATCAACAAAATCTTTTCTGACGTGTTTGGTTTTCAATTTGCCCCACACAAAAATTATAGAGATAGGATCCGAAATTTTTTTTCATTTACTATTTATCTCTTAATTCAACGTGTCTTTATAAGTTAGAATTATTTATAAATGGTAAAAAAATATTAGATCCTGCCGAACAAACCTTAATACGTCAATGGTGGCGTTAGCTAGGGCGGGAATTAATATTTTTTTTATATTGTATTTGATATGAAATTTATATTTTTTATTTTATTTTCTTGTTATCCTAGCATATAAAAATTATTAATAATATAATCCCGTCTTCATCCTTTTGTTGGCTATCAGAGAGAAAATTTGTCTCACTTGCAGTCGATTCTAGTAGAAGCAAGGCCCACGCACCATAAATGGACACTCCTAATTGCTATTCTCTACTCTAACGTGTCGACAATCATTATCATTTGAGAAATAGAAAATCATTTTTTTTATATGCATATTAGTTTATTTTATTTGAGATATCACATCTTACTTCAAAACTTTAATTTTTATGGAATTAGAGCTCAAATGAATGTTATATTTTAATAAATTTTTGTCTCAGAGAATAAAAGATTCAAAATTTTAAAAATTTGAACTAAAATATAATTTAACATTTAATAATAAATTATTTGGACAGCCAATGAGATGAGAGTTAGACGTCAGTGGTAAGAATCCGAAATAATAAGAGTGGTAGGTAGCAAGTTGCAAATAGAAGTAAATAATGGGTCCGAATTCAGAACGACATGGGCATTGGACAAGGGCTGCACTTTGTAATTAAAGAGGATTAAAAGGACCCGAAATATGTAAATACCAAATATTTTGACACGTGTCTCACTGTTACAGTCGAATGCGATGACTCAGCATGCTACATAAAAGCTCACTAGTCCCCACAAGGGTAGTTTACCGTTGGAATTAATTAATTAACGTTCCAATCAATTAAACCACGCCATTTATTATGCTCTATATCTCAGGGCAACATAGACAAATATCTACAAGGTTTGTTTCTCGTCCATAGTTATTTTTCTTGAGAAAAACAATTGAATTATTCGAATGATGTGCCCAATTTAAAATTTTATTTTGAATCTTAATTTTTTTAAAAGCATTCAACATAACATATAAACATGGAAATGCATGTAAATTCACGAACTAAAACAACACAAAAACAACCGGACCAACATAAATTTGGAGTTGTACAACAAAAAACAAAATCTATATCATTTCGTTAAAATTTTTGATGTCCGAGCAACCAATCCTGAATTCCAAAAAACAAAATCTATATCATTTCGTTAAAATTTTTTACGTCGGAGCAACCAATCCTGAATTCCCAGCCAACATCAAGTACTTATCCTTTCTGGTAAGCTTAGTGCATTCAAATCCCAAAACATCGCCCAATTGCCTTTGTACATAATTAGCAACCTCGTAGCTGGACTTCCCTCCGCCGCCGCATGTCATTTCCTTGGGAAGCTTAGGAAGAACAACCATGTCGTAGCTCGCCCTCGGATTCATCAAAAACATGATCGGATCCAACCATTTTAATCCACTCGCGGTCGTCCCATAAAACATACTCACCCACGTCTTAACACCAACCGGCACAATTTCATCGCTCAACTCTGCAAAAAGTGGACTGAATCTCAATAAATACGGCTCCCGACATGTCGTCCCTTCGGGACATACCACCAAATCCCCTTCGCTTAGTAACTTCTGCATTTCAGCACCATCCTTTTCTCTGTCTCTTGTCAATCTCACCGTCTTGATTGGAGATATGATTTCTGAGAATCTGCTTACGCTGTACGTCGCTGCAACCAATGGCTTCCCTACTGATGCGCTCAACACAACAGGGTCCAGCAGTGTCCTGTGGCTGCAAACAAATAAAATCCGCTTTTGGGTTCCTTCTGTTGATGCCTCTGTGTAGCCTTTGAGGGTTATTCTTAACCCACTCCAATGGCTTAGAAAAAGGCCCATTTTGTAAGGAAGAAACGAGCCAATGCAGATTCTGTAAATGGCTAACAAAACCCCAAAAGGAATCCAGAGGAATGTGCAAACACTTGCAAAAGGAGTGGGTAAAAACGCCAATCTTCCATCGTGAAAAATCAGTGGTTTTGGGTAATCTTGTCTTGATATTACTGTACTGGTGGGCGTTGGTTGGCCTTTATTATCCTCCTTGCTTACAACATAAGCTTCCTGCAAAAACAGGACATGTTTTTAGATTAAAATTACCTGATGGGGTGACAAAAAAAAGGTAACTTTTTTTATTATTGTACCTTGCAAAGAGAGATGAAAAGATGATCATGAAGATTTGGAGATCCAATGCCAATATCAGGCTTTTTATCTCCAAAATACTCGATTAAAGCTTTGTGCTTTACAAGCAAGCCATTTTCAGACACCAAGCCAGTGTAGTAGCGGCCAAAAGTTTGCAATTCAGTCCCTATAACGTCATTAACATTCAAATAATTTCTCAAAAACCCCTCCACCATAACTCTAGGTACACTTGTAAAGACAATCCTAGAGCCAGTGGCTTGAAAGACCTCGAAAGCATGAAGGTTGAGATTGTCGAGAAAAAACTTGGGGAGAACGGCTGAGCTGACACTGGCCATGTTCTTAGTTGGGAGGCCACAAAAGGAAATGAAAATCATAGCCTTGAATTTGGCGTCCCAATCCAAAAGACAGAGAATTGGCCATGAAAGAAGCAGGATTATGGCTCGAAAAAGGCTGCCTCCTTCGAAGGCAACAAGCATGAAGTAAGGGAAAAAAGAGTAGTTTTTGGAGGAGCTCAAAAGTGCACCGTTTAAGTCACAGACAAGAGTTTGAGATGCTCTGTTTTGGAGGCTGCATTTGGAGACGTGGGGGTAGAACGAGGGGTGTTGGTTGGGTGTTTTGAGAGATGGGTTTGTAAAAAGGAACCCATATTGCCTCACTTTTTTGGCTGCTTTGTAGCATGAATTGGCTAAGAGTTGGTATATAACACAGTCTATGAGCTTTACAACAAACCTCGGAAGAACAGCCATGGAATCAATTGTTTTGGGATGAAGCGTTTTGGTTTGGAGTATGGAGAAAAATGAAGCGTTTTGGGAGAGAATTTATAGGAAGGAATGGAGGGTCTGTGTATTTGGTTAGGCACACCGGTTGCATTAATTGAATGGTGATCTTATTTTTGGGTATTACAATTACTACCAAGTCCGTTGGATTGTAGGTCACCCACAAGAAGGTAATATTATCACACTTCCCCAGTGCAAAAATCTATCCCAACACGACAGGATTTTACTAACTTGCTTATTTATTTATTGTAATAATAATAATCAACTTTGACTTTTTTATGGCGGCGTTCTTCTTGGGCTTCTCCAATCACAGCCAGACCATGCTTGATTTTGAATGGGTTCAAACCCCAAGAAATGGTTGGGGAGGAAAGTGGGCATTTTCCCAATGCAATTGATAGCCCAGGCTAAGTTGCATGAGTAGCCATGTAAATTTGGCGCATAAGGCTTTGCCATCAGGTTTTGTTGTGCGGTAGTTAAGTTCATGCACTCGTCATTTAAAGATGGGTTCATAACAAAATGGGCAACCAAAATAAAAATATAATCTTCCTTTTAAATGCCAATCATTTTGTATGAATGTTCTGAAGGCATCGTCATGCAAAATTGTTTTGTTTGCATGTATATTTCATGTAATACACAAAACCCTTCCCATCCCGACCAATCATACGTTAAATTATTTATTTAATTTTTGAACTTCCGATGCTTTTAGAATTCACAAATCTGCTGAACAAGTTGAAAAATCTTATAGAAATATCTTACCACACCCAAAAGTTCAATATATATCCCCGTTGAAGTTATCAATCTTATGTTGAGTATTGTTTGAAAAGGAGTACCACATCAAAAGGTTGATCCTGAGTTTATAAGCGAGGAATGCATCTGAGTTTATAGTCAAAATAAACAATATCATGACAAACAGTTCTGGTCCGGTCAAATTCTGATGGAATCATAAGGGAAGTTATGTTGAGGATTATTAGGAGTGAGTTCCACGTTGTCTAATTTAGGCAATAGTTTATAAATAAATGAATACATTTCTATTGGGAAGAGGCTTTTTGGGCGGGAAACCTAAGAGAAAGTCACGAGAGCTATTGTTCAAAGTGGTATTACTTTTGGGCCAGCCCATGGGTTTAGAATACTTTTGGGCTCGCAAACGGACCCAATGAGTCCCACATTTTAATAGTTTTATAGCTATAATTTCACGCGTCAATTTGTGAGATACTACTTATTATGGAAAGAACATCGGTAAAAATGGAGACTTGCCTATTTAATCTCCCCAAATCCATTTCCCCTACTATTACTCTCTTCTCACTGTTTCTGCTTTGAGTGAAAGCAGCTCTCTGCCGTAAAGCTCAAGTGCGGGGTTCAATGGCAAAGCCGCCGAAGAAGAACGTCTTCCTCTTCTACTGTGCGGAATGCGAAGAACTTGCTCATAAAGTTGCAGCTCAATCCGATTCCATCACTCTCCAAACCATCAAATGGAGGTCTATTCCTTTTCTTTCTTCCGAAATGCAAATTTCTTTACTCTCCTCCCCTCCCCGCTGTTTGTTTCCCACTGGATCACTCTTCCTTCTAATTTCTGCTTCTGTTTGTACTTTTGAGATATGTGGCTTTTGTGTTGCTTGGCAGTTCTTAACAATAGTTTTGTTTTTGTTTTTTCAAAGTGTTTTTTGATTAGCGTGGAAATGTAACGATCATCTTATGCTTGAAATTCTGTTCATAATCTCGTAATTTACTGTCATCCTTAAAAATGAATGAACTATAAGCTTACGAGTAGATGGAGATAAAAATTTAATAGCCTATTTCTTTCTCACTTAATTTTTGTAAGTTTCCAGAACAAATAGCCGGCGGTGATCCTTTGGTTTCGCCTTTTGTTTTAAAAACTTGTATCATAAATAAACATGTAGTATGTGAAGATTGGGAACTACAACATTTCAGTTTTGTGAAAGATATCTATACAACTGAAAGTAAACTTTTTATTTTTGTGTCACCTACTTCTGTAAACTAATTCTAGACGTCTCCATGTATATTTTATGTTGCGGTAAAAGTTACTAGTAGTGGCATGGCATTTGCTTTGCCAGTTATGTTGTATTTGTAGCAGTCTGAAATTTTTATATGTGTACTTAAGGCAGGCGACTAAGTTATATATGGAGTTAAGACCTTTGATATAGTACCATCTGCAAAGGGAATTAATTTTTTTTTTTTTATTCAAATTTGGAATTGGGGACCAATCACTCTGAATGGTTTGAAAGGGAAGGCTTAAAATCCTAGAAAGCTTTTCTTCTTTTAGATTTGGTTGCGAATTTGTGAGACAAGTAGTAGCATTTCTCTCGAGGTCCTCTTTCAAGCAAATCTTGGAAAAGTGTTGAACTGGGTTGTAGTTGATCATAGCTACGCATATGTTATGATTACCTTTTGTTAGCCTGTTTTGGAATCTTCAACCCTTGAGTAAAAGTAGTTCACTAACCTTGAGCTTGTTGCCTTTTCCTTTGGAACTGCTTTGTTTCTGTTCTAGTCCTAGAAAGCACTACTATTTCCACTAGAATGTCGGTGTCTCTGGTGATTTGTTTTTTTACTGACATTCTTATATGGTTGTGAGAAATGAAAAAGGTACGCAGACATTTTATACGTTTCAGGTATATATGAGACTCATTTAGTAAAGAAAAAGGGAAAAAAAATTGACGATGCCATGAACAACTCTAAACCCAAAATGAAACGGGACTAAAGTGAATGTAACTGCCCAAGCCCGCCGCTAGCAAATATTGTCCTCTTTAGGCTGTCCCTTCTGGGCTTCCCCTCAAGGTTTTAAAATGCGTCTTTTGTAACGGTCCATGCCCACTGCTAGCAGATATCGTCCTCTTTGGGTTTTCCCTTCCGGGCTTACCCTCAAGGTTTTAAAATGCGTCTACTAAGGAGAGGTTTCACAACCTTATAAAGAATGTTTCGTTCCCTTCTCCAACTGATGTGGGATCTCACAATCCACCCCTCCTTCGGGGCCCAGCATCCTCGCTGGCACTCGTTCCTCTCTCCAATTGATGTGAGATCTTACAATTCATCCCCCTTCAGGGCTTAGTGTCTTCGCTGGCACACCGCTTAGTGTCCACCCCCCTTCGTGGCTCAACGTTCTCACTGGCACACTGGACAGGGATCAGTGTCCTCGTTGACACAATGTTCGGTGTATGGCTCTGACACCATTTGTAACGACTCATGCTCACTGCTAGTAGATATTGTTCTCTTTGGGCTTTCCCTTTCGAGCTTCCCTTAAAGGTTTTAAAACGCGTCTACTAGGGAGAGGTTTCCACAACCTTATAAAGAATGTTTTGTTCCCCTCTCGAACTGATGTGGGATCTCACAATCCACCCCTCCTCCTCCCCTTTGGGGCTCAACGTCCTCACTGGCATACCGTTTGATGCTTGACTCTGATTCCATTTGTAATGGCCTATGCCCATCACTAGCAGATATTGTCCTCTTTGGGCTTTTCCTTCCGGATTTCCCCTCAAGGTTTTAAAACACATCTACTAGGGAGAGTTTTCCATAACTTTATAAAGAATGTTTCGTTCCCCCCTCCAACCGATGTGAGATCTCACAATCCACTCCCTTTGAGGCTTAGCGTCCTTGCTGGCATTCGTTCTTCTCTCCAATCAATGTGGGATCTCACAATCCACCCCCCTTTGAGGCCCAGCGTCCTAGTTGGCACATCGTCCAGTGTTTGGCTCTAATGCCATTTGTAACGGCCCATGGCCATTGCTAGCAGATATTGTCCTATTTGGGGTTTTTTTTTTCAGGCTTCCCCTCATGGTTTTAAAACGTGCCTACTAGGGAGAGGTTTTCACAACCTTATAAAGAATGTTTCGTTTCCCTCTCCAACCGATGTGGGATCTCACAATCCATCCCCCTTCAGGGCCCAGCGTCCTCGCTAGCACACTGCCCGGTGTCCACCCCCCTTCGAGGCCCAACGTCCTCGTAGACACACCGTCCGGTGTCTGGCTCTGATATCATTTGTAAGAGCCCATGCCCACAGCTAGCAGATATTGTCATCTTTGAACTTTCCCTTCCGGGCTTCTCCTCAAGGTTTTAAAATGCATCTACGAGGGAGAGGTTTCCACAATCTTTTAAATGATGTTTTGTTCCCCTATCCAACCGATGTGGGATCTCACAATCCAGCCCCCTTTGGGGCTCAACGTCCTCGTTGGCACATTGTCCATTGTCCACCCTCCTTCGGTGCCCAACGTCCTCGCTGGCGCACCGCCTAGTGTCCACCCGCTCAGCGTTCCTGTTTGTACACATTCCAGTGTCTGTCTCTGATACCATTTGTAACGGCCCATGCCCACTGTTAACGGATATTGTTCTCTTTGGGCTTTCCCTTCGGGGTTCCCCTCAAGGTTTTAAAACACGTCTACTAGGGAGAGGTTTCCACAACCTTATAAAAAATGTTTCGTTCATCTCTCCAACCGATGTGGGATATCACAATCCCCCCCCCTCCCCTCCTCATGGCCCAGCGTCCTTGACAGCACTCGTTCCTCTCTCCAATCATGTGGGATCTCACAATCCACCCCCCTTTGGAGCCCAGTGTCCTCGTTGGCACACCGTCCGATGTCTGGCTCTGATACCATTTGTAACGACCCATGCTCACCGCTAGCAGATATCGTTCTCTTTGGGCTTTCCCTTCCAGGCTTCCCCTCAAGGTTTTAAAACGCGTCTACTAAAGAGATGTTTTCACAACCTTTTAAAGAATATTTCGTTCTCCTCTCCTACCGATATAGGATCTCATAATCCACCCCCCTTTGGGGCTCAACGCCCTTGCTGGCACACCTTCTGATGTTTGATTCTAATTCCATTTGTAATGGCCCATGCCCACCGCTGGCAGATATTGTCCTCTTTGGGCTTTCCCTTCCGGGCTTCCCCTTAAAGTTTTAAAACACGTCTACTAGGGAGAGGTTTCCACAACTTTATAAAGAATGTTTCGTTTCTCTCTCCAACCGATGTGGGATCTCACAATCCACCCCCCTTCAAGGCCTAGCGTCTTCGCCGATACTCGTTCTTCTCTCTAATCAATGTG